GTGTGTGTGTGTGTGTGTGTGTGTGTGTGTGTGTGTGTGTGTATGAGAGAGACAGACAGACAGACAGAGAGAGAGTTGAAATATGCTCCAAATTAACTGTATTTCCTGAATAAATATTTAATATGGTGGATCATCCCTTTATGATTTATCACAGTCCTGAAAAGTGGCATCTTGTTTCTAATGTCAGGTTTGGGTGGTCATTATATAAAGAGATGGAAGGAGAGGAATGATGGAATATTGTTGTTGCTATTGAGTCACTAAGCCATGTCTGACTCTGTGACCTGATGGACCATGGCACACTCTCCTTCATTGTCTCCTGGAATTTGCCCAAATTCATGTTCATTGTATTGATGACACTATCTAACCATCTCATGCTCTACTTTTCTTCATGTTCTTTTCTCCTTTTGCCAGGGTTGTTTCCAATGAGTCCTCACTTCTCATTAAGTGATCAAAGTATTCAAGCTTCAGTTTCAATTTCTGTCCTTCCAAATAACAATCAGGGTTGATTTCCTTTAGAATTGACTGGTTTGATCTCTTTGCAGTCCAAGGGACTCTTAAGAGTCTTCTCCAGCACCATAATTCAAAAGCATGGATTCTCTGCCTTCCTTATAGTCCAACTCGCATTCTGAAAAAAACATAACTTTGACTATGCCATAGTTTTCTTCCCCAAGAGGAAAGCATCTTTTAATTTCATGTCTGCAGTCATTGTCTGCAGAGATCCTGGAGCCCAAGAAAATGAAATATGTCACGGTTTGCATTTCAATGGAATGTAGACTGTAATAATATGTAAAACATGTGAATAAATAGTTGTCTATTCCTCTAATAATTGTGGGCATTTTAGTGCAGGATTGTATCTGCCTGTCTATTAATGACTGATATTATTAATTAAATCAAAATATATTATATAGAATGAGTAAGTTTAGTCTTTTACATTTTATTTCTAGAAACATATTTTTATTACCTGGGGGTATATGGAATGCTATGTGGCTTCATTTGATTGAAGGTATATATCAATTTCTGAGCTGCCCTTTGCTGTTGTATTTCCTAAAAATAATAATATAAAAACCCTAGATATATTATTTCAATAATGTTTACAATAACATTTAGCAAGTTGGTGCTCTGTCTGTCCACATTTTAAGTATGGTACGTCCGTCTCTTTTAAGATTGTGATGAGACAATGTGATTTAACTAACTCTGCCCAATGACTCTTTCCAGAGTTGAAGTAAGAACTGAATTTTGAAATCTCAGCTTAGAGATCGTATTAAAAACTACTAATTGGCTTGGGTGGGGAAAACTTTGAAGTACTCATAAGTCTCAATCAAAGGACAGGATGAAAATGAAAATTTAGTTTTCTTAGAAAACAAAATCACAAAATAATTTATAAAATATGAGTGAGCTGATCCCATGTAGCTGTAACTGTATTTTATTTCCTTGACAAATAAGAAGAATACTCTTTCTGGTCTTTCCAGTTTCTATTACAATGATATTAACAGCTTTGTGACACCCTCCCCACTACTACAGAATAATGGACTTGGAAGGGACCTTGGAAGACTTCTAGTTCAACCCTTGCTCATGCAGGAGATCCTATAGCATTCCAGACAAATGGCATCCAATCTCTTCTTAAAAACTTCCAATGATGAAGCACCCACAACTTCTAAACAGGCAAGGTCTTAATTGTTCTAACTGTAAAATTTCTCTTTATTTCTAGATTGGTACAAGTTTGAATACATTACAATACATACCTGAGAATATTAGTAGTTACTGGTTACTATTTGTGTGCTCTAATGAATCCATTTTAGCCATTGTCATGAATAGAACTACTTTTGGGCTGAGATGGCTGTTCTCAGAGTTGGGATTTATCTGGCAATTGGATTTGACAGACCTCGGTAAACCACCATTTTAGATCAGGGTGCAGGGGTGGGATTCAGCTAGTTTGGTTCAGGTGAACCTGATGCTGGTTCAGGTGAACTAGATGCTAGATGCTAATTTTACATTTGGTTCACCAAACCGGTAGTTGGAAGGACTGGCTGGCCCTGTCCACCCCGCCTCTCCCAGAAGTCTCCATGCTGCCCATTTTGGATGCCAGGTAAGTGCAGGGCCAGTGCGGAGGCTCTGGGAAGGTGAAAAACGGACCTCCCGGTAGTTCCAGAAACGGGGAAACAGGCCTGTTTCTAGCCTCCAGAGGGCCTCAGAGCCTGGGAGGAGCGAAAATACCACTCCCCCCATGATGCAGGAGGCCAAATAGGCCATGCCCACCCAGCAACCAGGCAGAGAACTGGTTGCTAAAATTTTTGAATCCTACCCCTGCCAAGATAGAGTAGATAGACTACAGTGTACAGTGTGGGCTCCTTTGGTAGAATGTTGCTAGCCTCCTATTATTATTAGGGATTGCTGATCAGATTATACTCACTCTGAGACATAGATGGAGGACTGTGCTTTCATGGAAGATCTTCTGCCAAGTCCGAACAACTTCCGGAAGGAAAGATTTTACAATGAAAACTTCACCTAACTTGAGCACATTATTTTCAGACCAGGTGCAGACAGCTTTCATGGCTCTCCTCAATCCTCCATCCATTTCCTCTTGAGACAAAACTTGAATCATGGCAGCCATGCCGTGCTGTGACCAAGAGGACATGCTTTTATCAAGGCTCGAAGGTGAACTTTCTTCCAGTCTATAAATCGTTACTTCTTCTCCAGCTAAATAAATTTAAGAAAGAAAGAAAGAAATTTGAGATGTTGTAAAAAAAAAAAATCTGAGATTAACAACAAAAAAACAATGAGATTAACAAAAAGCAATGAGATTAATAATAGAGGGAAATGCAAGGGTTTTTAAGGACAATGTTTTCTAATTATTTCTTGGTATGGCATTATACAAAATAATGCAAAAGATAGAGATATAAAATGAGAGGGGGAGAGAGGGGGGTCAGGGAGGGAGGGAGTGGAGGATAGATAGATAGATAGAGAGAGAGAGAGAGAGAGAGAGAGAGAGAGAGAGAGAGAGAGAGAGAGAGAGAGAGAGAGA